GACTGGACCGAAAGAAGGAATGAAAAAGCCTAGTTTCTAATACCCAGAACATCTCTCTAGAGTCTGGTCAGTTGGCTGTGAATCCTTTAACATCACTTGAGCCTCATTTCTCCATTTGATCTTCCTGAGAGCCAACTGGACAGCTCTGAAAGGCATAGTCTTTTCTTTTTTAAAAAATGTTTTTAAATTTATTTTAGAGAAAGAGGAAGGGAGAGGAAGAGGAAGAGAGACATCGATGAGAGAGAAACGTCGATTGGCTGCCTCCTGCATGCCCCCCTACTGGGGATCGAGCCCACAGCCCAGGCATGTGCCCTGACGGAATTGAACCGGTGACCTCCTGCTGCATGGGACAGCGCTCATTCAGCTGAGCCACAGTGGCCAGGGCCAAACACTAGTTCTTGAACTCAGCTCTAGAAGTTCAGAATTTATAAAGTAAATGTTTTAGCAGAGGGGCTCTCTTTTTCTTTTTCTTTTTTCCTCTGCCCCTCAGAGGCTGTCATGATTGGTGTGATTTAAGCCATACCTGTCAGCGCATAGACAGATCTGGAAGAATACATTTGAGGGCATTAAATGCGAGTTCATCAGGGTCAAACAGTGTAAATCTTTACTGATAAGGTGAGACCCCCTCTTGTTTTCCTAACAGATACGAAAAGTCCTGGAATTCAGAGACATTCTTTTGGGAACTGTGTATATGTAACCATAGCGAAGAAAGATCATTCTGTAGCTGTGGTTTGGCATTTGTTTTCTACTACTACGTATGCTAAAGAGTTCCACATGTTTTTCTGGATCTTAAATCCCTCTCCTAAGATCCATGCCTGTATTTCCAACTGCCGTCTTCACATCCCCTATCTTGACCTGCAGGCACTTTTAACATTGAACAGGCCCAGAACTAAACTCGTTGCCCTCAGCCCCCACACTTGCTTTATCACCTGCATTCTTGGTTTCAGCTAATAACTTCTTGTTCCCTATAGAATGGCTTTTAAACAGTAAGAAATGCATTTTACATCGTGACCCACAGGGAGCGTGCGCGCGTGTGCACACATACACACACACACACACATACAACCTGAACAGAAGTTTCATAAAACACTATGGATCTTTACCATGTATGTTACCCTCTGATATCTCCTCTTTATTTCTTCTTTTAAAAATGCTGATGTCAACACTCTAAATGAAATTTACAATTCCCCAGTGAGAGCCCAGTCTCACCGCTCTGTCTTCTGTGACAAACAGTAGATGTTAGCCCAATGGGACCTGTAGTTTGGGAAAATCTGAAACAGTTAAAATATAGTTCCCTTGGATTTGGTTCTGGCCCTAGCCCCCTCCCCTCCTATAACCCAGTCTACAGTTCAGTCGCACCAAATTTCACAGTTACCCAGATCCATCATGCATTCATTCCATTCATTCATTTAGTCGATATTTACTGAGTACATGGCATATGGTGGGCAGTAGGGATCCAAACACAAACATTATGGTCTTCACTCTGTGGTCAGTCCACAGTTCAGTTAGAAGACAGACAAGTTACCTAACAATTATGAAGCAGTGAGTAGGTCCTGTAGACATCTGCAAAAAGCCCCCAGAGATCACAAAGATTATCACATGCAACCTGGAGCAGAGAATCCAGAAAGTCTTTCAGGAGAAGGTAAATTGTGGGCTGAAGCTAGACTCAGAGGTAGGAGTTAACCTGACTAATTAGGGGCAGGACATTCTGGAAGAGGAAACCAGTGGGAAGATATAAGGGCCTGAGCAACATGGGTATTTGGAGGAAATATTTTGACATAAGCCTTTCCTTTTAACCGGAATACTTTCCTGTCACTCCTACCCTTTCTTCACTTGGCCAACCATTAGTCAGGGTTCCTTGTACCACTAGCTGATCCTCTCCAATGCAGCTTTCCTCCCTGCCCCCTGGTAGACTCAAGCAATCCCTGCTTTGGGCTCTCACTGCCCTTTCCTGAGGGAACACTTATGTTGAAGGCAGCTCATTGGTGTCTTTGTTCATGTGTCTCACCAGAGTAGGAGCATCTCAGGGCAGCACCCAGTCTCACCCCTCTGTCTTCTGTGACACACAGTAGATGTTAGGCCAGCGAAGAGATGAACCAGTAAAGGAACAGGAAGATGTGCTCGTCACAGCACAGGTGTAAGGTGAAGCTACTTAAATGAATCTGTAGGTGAGTTTTTAGCATATCAGAGCATGTTGTTTTAAGATTAAAATGGGCCTGAGATGCTTATTTGCAGACAGATAACCACATTTTCAGTGTTGAAGGCACACCGGATGCAATTTTGTTTTGTTTTATTTTTTGCAGTTTTATTTGCAAAAGATTGTTTTTGGCTTTTAGATAATACTTCTCTTTCTTTCTGACTTAAAAGCATCTTGGTAGTGGAATTTCTTAGTTGATTAATATAAATGAAATTCTGACACTAGAGACAACACACACCCACTTTCCTTATTGCACAAGTACCCTATCATCTCCAACCATATGTTTCACCCAAACTGTCTTTCCCAAAAAGGCTTTTATAAGAAACAAAACTGACTTTTAATTCTTCTTTTCCTTCGCCCACTGGCTGCCCAGTTTATATTTCCTGTGCTGGTGGCCGAGGAGTTGTAGGCAGGAGAAGAATTTGAGACCTGGAATCTCATCAGTCAGTGCTTTAATAATTCATGAAAAAGTCATATTTTTTTCTCTTTGCGAGTAAATTTTACGAGATGGCCTTAATATTTGATGATCACTTTGAAACAGACACTGGACCTGGATGAGGGTGGTGCCTGTAAGAAGGTTTTGCTAACACAAGCATCGTGGAAGCAGGTACCATTGGGGTAGCAATCGTACCTTTGTGAGGAGTGAGGGAAGGAGATTTAGGACCTGGCTGGACTTTTCATTGTTTATAAAACCTTCGGAGGCTCTATTTCATATGTAATGGATTAGCTGTGATCAAGTCGTGATTTTGAGCTGAAAGCTTCTCTCTTTAGTTGTTAAAGTATAATACCGATGACTCCCTTTGTCCTTCATCAGAACTCAATGTGAGCTCGAAGTGGGGCTTCCCCGGTGAGCTGTGTGCGCTGTCTGCACACCAGATTGTCTCCCTCTTCTTGACATCGTGGTTGGAATAAGTAAAAAGAAAGGGAGGGGGGTGCCTTTTGCAGAGACACTGTTATCACACTCGTTCACGTCAGACACAGTGGCTTTGTCTCTTTTCCAGTCTCACGACTCTTCCAGCCCTGTCGCCTAATTGCATCCCCACTCCCACCCAGCTCATCATTAGTGGGACCTGGTTTGAGTAGATCTGCCTATTAATGTTTGTATCAGTTAGTACTTGCTAAATTAGCCAATTACAATTTTAAAGAAAAGTCGTATTATCAGATCCCCTGAACCCGTGAAGATCATAATATGTGTATTTAGCCCTGTTTCACCAGAGTGGGGGGCAGTGCATGAAGCGCTTGCTATATGTGCGCCACCCTTTGACTGGACAGCTTTGTCCCCCCAGTAAATAAATGCATCAGTAATCAGAGCTCTGTATTTCCGTATTGCCCAGAGGTGCCTGCTAATCCTCAGAGACAAGTGAATATGCCTCATTCCCCCCCCCCCC